CCCCCGCTCTTAATTCTCCTCCCAGGCTTGCGGCGCCAAACAGCTGATTGGCGCTGCAAGCCTGGGAGGCGGGAGAAGTGGAGCAGCAACTGTGCGCTCGGGGAGGAACGCTGCTAAATAAACAAATAAATAAATAATTGGGGGCACTGCTTTTTGGCAATCCCAAATCTTGGCACCCTAGGCAACCGCCTAGTTCGCCTTAATGGTAGCACTGGCCCTGAGAGGGGGTTCCCCCAGGAGTGCATCTAGGGTTCTCCTTAGGGAGCTGCAGCTCTGCACACACATTATTGTGGCAAAATGCCACAATCTAGCGCTTTGTTTTTTCAGCTATACAGGACATCCAAGAGACAGACAATAACAGCCGGTATTACTTGTTATCATCTCAGTGGCTGATTTTGGATATGGTTTCTTATGTTAATACTTCTTTTGGAAGAGTGGCATACAAATATAAGGGCAGCAGCTTTTCAGGGCACTAAACTCAGTACAGCATGTATATAATTGATAATAAACGTTCTGTCAATACAGTTCACACACACGTTTACGAGGTTTACTAAACGAGGTCCCTTTGTCCTGGCTCTCATAAGAGCTCTGCACACATGTGCTTAAGCAGCTTTTAGTTAGCCCAGATTTATAGATGTAGATATTTCTTTCAAAACACAACAGGAATGACACCGCAGAAAAAATAAGTGAAATATACTGATGCACTCTTCCTCTCTTTTGTTTCTGTTGTTCCTGTTACTGCGGTGGTTGCTAAAAATTATTATTATACTGCAGCAGTTCAAAATACAAATGGGAACACAGTCTACGATTAATTATATAAAAACCATCTTAAAAAGAGAAATATTATCAGCCAAATGCATGCTACTGGTGCAAACTGTCATTGCTTATAACCAGAGATATGGGACTGGATGAAAGAGTGAAAAGGAACTGTGCTAAGGACAGATCTTGGAATATTCAATAAAACCTTGTGATTCAGCTACTTGTGTGGATGCTATCAACATGAAAGAACACAGTCACAAGTGTTAGGACACGTACAGCATACGAGGAGGAAAAAGCTGCTTCTCCAGAAAGAATGAAAGGGAACATCATCTCCCAGTTGAAATGTAGTCCCCAGCTTGAGTAGACATACATGAGCTAGCTCTGCACAAGCTAGTGCACTAAAATTAGCAGTGTGGCTACGTCAGCACAGGCGGCAGCTTGGGCTAGCTACTCACGTAGGTAGCTAGGGGGTCAGGCAGGGTTGTACTCAGGCAGGCTAGCTAATGCCACCACCTATGTAGCCATGGCCACACTGCTCTTTTTAGCACACTAGCTTGATCAAAGCTAGTGCAGGCATGTCTACCTGAGCTGGAAATTATACTCCTGGCTGCAGCGTAGACTTGCCCTGAGTGGTTACTCTACCTCTGTAAGGGAGCACTTTTTAGTCAGACATCCTCACAGGTCAGCCAAGGAGAACTGAAGACGTAAGTGCCACTTGTCATTTCAGTTAAGCTGGTGTAAATCAGAACCTTTTCCATTTATGTACATGGAGCTTAAGTCTGATCAGCCTAATCAGGCCCATGTCTGTTATATACACCGACTGTTTGTATCCACCGGCACACAAAGCGTTATCCACAGCAGCCTCGGAGTTCAAAACAAGACAAAAGTGATCTCCAAATACAGAAAAATACACACAGCCACAGAGGATCCAACAGCATCTGTTCCTTTTTACTGCTGATCTTATACATGAGACCCTCCTCGTTACCTGCCGACAGTGGTTTTTCAGAGATACACAAAAGCCAGTGGTAATAATTGGTCATACTTTGCATTAGTTGGTTTCCACATAAAGTAAGGCTGGTTCAAAGTCAAAGTTGATACACTGCCATTGGCTTGTAGCTAGTACTCAAATGCTTGTTTGAAGCCTGTTCAAACAAGTTCTGAAAGCTGGCACTAGGTTTCCTGGCCAGAAGAAGTCACCCCCTGCCAGGAAGAGCCAGTCAGAAAGCTGATCGGACATGGCATTATTTCAGGTAGACTGACCATCTGAGGCACATCCCATCATAACATTAACACATCACTATGCAAGAACTGGTGTTCTTTCAAGGAGTGAACTTCAGCTCTATACAGAGAGCCAGCACGAGGGCCTTGGCCCTATTTGGTCCCACTTAAGCATGATCAGTTTCAAGCAAGTTGCCTTCCACCTTCAGATTCACAAACTATTCCTCCCTGTTGGACAAAAACCA